TTGGTGTCAATTTAAAGGCCAACCACTCCTCTTGGATATACTATCAACTTCTCGGGTCTATGTTCTTCAGGGGTAAATATATATGCCATAGAATACAAATTTTGTAATTTTTCACACAAAAGTCAGGGTCCATTTGGACGGCTAAATATTGACCGACCTTTATCGAAACATACATGCTTATTCTCTGGCATGCATGCTTATTCTCTGGCCGACCTTTATCGAAACATGCATGCTTATTCTCTGGCCTGATCCCCTTCTCCATGCAAAAATTCGCGGTGTTTGGGCCATAATTGCGGCCTCTGGAGCGACCAGAAAAACCGACAAAAATAAAGTTTTTGGTCCATTTCATCCCCTAAATATTAACCGATCTTTTCCAAAAACAATAGGGATCTTCATTGGCCAGAACCCATCCTACATGCAAAATTTCGCGAAGATTGGTCCATAGCTGTGGCCAGTATCGTGGTTACAAATTATAATGGACGGACGGACGGACACACATGTCTAGATCGACTCAGCTAGTCGAGATATGACGATCAGTATATTTAAAGGTGGGTCTAGTACCAATATTTCGCGGCGTTACAAACTTTTGGGGCTACACAAAGCTATAATACCCTGACAACATAGCTGTGTAGGGTATAATTACTGAAGGGCTACAGATGAAATACCTACGTAAGGTCTTCAAACTATTAAAAATCTCCGTAAGATCTTCTGTCAATTGTAGACCTGCATATCTATTATAGAACATTCTTTGCCTATAGTATATTGAAGAAGGTCTTTCAATTCTTAAATACATTCGAAAAGTCTTACAACTACTGAAAACCCATAGAATATATTTTATTTTTAAAGAACCTAATGATGGTCTTTCAACTATTTAAGATCTGTAACAAATCACCAAAAAATAACCAACATTAGGACTTCAACAATTGAAGAATTACGGAAGATCTTTCAGCTGCAGAAGGTCTAATTTCAATAGAAGGGCTACAAATATACCTGTCTTACTGGAAATCATATACAATGTCTCATATCTATATAACACCTAAAGAGTGTATTCTATACATATATAAAACCTATAGAAATGCTTCTAGCTACAGAAGATTTACAGAGGGTCTTCCCATCATCGAAGACCAAAGAAGATCTTCTATATACTGAAAATCCTCCATTCGAAGAAGAACTACATATGGTCTCACATTTATAAAATACCTTCAGAATGTCATTCATTTTCTGAATACCTCGAAAATTTAATAGAAGTTCTAAAAAATGTATTCTATCTATAGAAGGTATTCCTACAGAGATTTTTTCCTTCGAATACCAAAGAAAGTCTGAATTCAGAACGCTTTACCTTTACAGAAGGTCTTATAGCTATTGAAGACCTAAAGCAGGTCAAAAGAAGCTCTTCTATATGCAGAAGATCTACAAAAGGTCCGCAATACAGAGAAGATCTACAAAGGGTCTTTAATTTACAGAAGGTCTTCTAAGATCTTGAAAACTTTGACTCAAATCTATGCGCCAGCTCTTTTGGTTTCATCTGCCTACGTCAGCTATGGTGTTGCAGCTGTATTAACATGAAGCTGTCTTTTATCTAAAAACTCCCTATAAAGATCTTTTCTATTCCCCATGAATCAAGAATGCCAAATTACACCAAATTCGATAGGTTATCGGATTGATGGCCCCTGTTAACAAAATGTCATTGTATTGTAGGAAACATGTCTGCCCACTCCTTCCCCAGTGGAAAATTGCTGAAAACAATATACCCATGAAGTATTGACAACATTGAAGTATTTACCTGGACATGTTGTAAACAGTCTGGGTACACACCCAATATTGTGAGGTTAGGTGGCAGTGGTGGCGATAAACAGCTACTTTATAGACAATAAATGTCACAAACAAATGGGTCAGTAGTAAACATTTCTCGAATACCAACAACAACTCTACAAATTTCTAAAAGTTATACAGATACATATGTCTTGAATGGGTATGGTATAGAGGAAAAAAGCTACAATTTTCATTTTGAGTTGAAAAATAAACAACAAAAAATAGATTTATTTATTATGGAATTTCTATACATTGTTGGTGTGTTTTTTGTTTATTAATCTAGTTTTGTACATTAGCAGCACATACACATGTTTATGTCTTTCCACAGCATTTTTATTTTGGGTGATTGCTTTTGCAATTTTCGCCAACTAATTTCCTCACATTGTCCATTTACTTCAATGGCCAGGCATTCCAGCCACCTTTTGTGGCTGTGCTATAGACCAAACCCGAATCCCAACCACTTGTAGCCGCATACAAGCCACCACCACTGTAATAGGATTCTGGAGCATAAGCGTATTCGATGGTTGCTGGTGCTGGGGCAGCCACCACATATTTCTTAATGATGGGTGCATGCGCCTTAACGAATGTGGCCGCTGGTGCATATTCGACTATGGGCCGGAGATAAGGTCGTTTCTCGTGTACAATCGTTTGACTTTGGTGTGACACAGCAGTCGGATAATGTTCCACCGAATGTCCAACTATTGTTGGCGTATAATGTTCATAATGATCATAGATGGCCGGCGCAGCAACAGCAGCAGCTGGTAAATATGTTGGTCCCGATACATGACCTGGGCGTGCTGTCACAACTCCCAATGTAAGGCACAGAATTGTCTGTAAAATGGAAAAGAATCATAAATTTCGAAAAATGAAGAAATTAATGTTATTTTAGTTTAAATATACATATTTTGGATATTGTAAAAATATTTGAAAACGAACGTAGATTAAAAAACCAGTCAGCGGAGCAGTATAGTCGGATGGGGCCGACCATATGATACCCTACACAACTTCCACGAAACTATAACTTTCTGTGGTTCTACATACTGAGCTTTGGCAATATTTCACGATATTTGCACCCTCTTGACCGACTAGTGGTCAACAAATTTTACAAATATTCAGTACAGCCCTTCTAATCACTTGTCCTGATTCCCTTCACCCTGGGTTGTGTTGTGATGTTTGGCTTTCAATTTTGGCCTATATATCGACTCGAAAAATAAAATCACCAAAAAATAAGTTTTCGGTCCATTTCATCCCAAAATTATTATCTGATCATCACCGAAAATTATAGGCGTTGTCGGTGACCATAACTTGAGTCTCATGGAAAATTTCAAAGCGATCAGCGCTATATTTCCGCCCGCTAGTGTGGTAATGGGTTACTAAATAATATATGAATACGTAAGCACCTGTAAATATTTATGTGTAAATCCCGCATCCGAGTACATACGAAAATATAATTGGTATCAATTTAAAGGTCAACCACTCGTCTTGAACATACTATCTCGGGTTTAGGACGTTCAGATGCAAATATATACTCCATAGAATACAAATTTTGTAATTTTTCACAAAAAAGTCAGGGTCAAGTTGACCAGCTAAATATTGACCGATGTTTATCAAAACAGGCATACGTATTCTTTGGCCCGATCCCCTTCTCCATGCAAAAATTCGCGGTGTTTAGGTCATAATTGCGGCATCTGGAGCGACCAGAAAAACCGAAAAAAATAAAGTTTTTGGTCCATTCCATCCCCTAATATTAACCGATATTTACCAAAAACAATAGGGGCCTTCATTGGCCAGAACCCATCCTGCATGCAAAATTTCGTGAAGATTGGTCCATAACTGGGCCTGTATCGTGTTTACAAAGTATAATGGACAGACAGACGGACGGACGGACACACAGTTCTAGATCGACTCAGCTAGTCGAGATATGACGATCGGTATACTTAATGGGGGGTCTAGGACCAATATTTCGCGGCTGCACAAAGCTATAATACCCTGACAACATAGTTGTGTAGGATATAGTAAGAAATAGACATTATGCTTTTTATACCCTTCACCACACTGTGGTACAGGGTATTATGTCTTTATGCATATATTTGTAACAGGCAAAAATAATCAAGAAGGAACCATGGTTCCTTTTGAGAATATGCATAGAATATGCTGAATTAAGCATAGAATGATGTGTGAAAAGTTTTAAGAAAATCGGTTCAGATTTAGATATAGCTACTATATATAGCTTCGTCTGATTTTAGATAAATAGTCCACTAAAGTCCTTGGAAATCTTTTGACTTGCACGAAATTTGGCACAACGCAATCAATAAGGTCACGAATGATGTTTGCCACGTTTCGTGAAAATCTGTTCAGATTTAGATAAAGCTCCCATATATATCTTCGTCCGATTGTGTACCAAAGTCCCTATATATCTTTCGATTTGCACGAAATTTGGCACAGTGTACTAAATTAAGTATAGAATGATGGGTGCAAAGTTTCGTGAAAATCGGTTCAGATTTAGATATAGCTCCCATATATAGCTTCGCCCGATTTTAGGTAAATAGTCCACTAAAGTCTCTGGAAACCTTTTGATGTGCACGAAATTTGGCACAGAGTTATGAATAAAGTCGAGAATGATATCTGCCAAGTTTCGTGAAAATCGGTTCAGATTTAGATATAGCTCCCAATGTATTTTCATCCGATTTAAGGTAATTGGTGCACCAAAGCCCCTATATATCTTTCGATTTGCACGAATTTTGGTATAGGGTACTGAATTAAGTCTAGAATGATGTTGCTAAGCTTCGTGAAAAGATCCATAGCTAGGCCGATTGACACAAAGTACTGATGTTATATAAATTATATTATGGCAAGTTTCCCTGAAATCGGTTCAGATATAGATTTATAACAAAACGCGTCGTCTGTTAGGATACATATGTAAAATATACCCAAAGTGGTGAAGGGTATCATATAGTCGGCCCAGTCCGACTTTACTACTTTCCTTACTGGTTCATACCCCGCACAACTATGTTGTCAGGGTATTATAGCTTTGTATTATAGCCGGGCACGTGGATTTTTTTGTAAAAAATTTTATTTTAGAATAAACCAAATGTTTTAACTTAATTACTCTTTACACCTACCTCCGCTAATGACTTTAATGGATTTAGGCGTTATTTATATTTGATTTTTTATGAAAAAAAAACTGTAAAATTTTTCGGGCCATGGCCGTTAATATGTCGATGAAAATCTTTACGACAAAATTGGTTTTATTTAACACATCTTTAAATTCAGTCTTTTTAGAGATTCAAATAAAAAGCTATTCAAACTAATTTTGGTATTATTGCGCATCATAAAAGGGTATGAATGGGAATGTTTCGGCTCATGTGCGTTAAAAGACATAAATTAGAATTTTTAAAATTTTTGCGATATTTAGGGCAATGATTCCGTTTTCAACTTTTTATACCCTCCACCATAGGGTATAGTAATTTTGTCATTCCATTTGTAACACAAATATTCATTTCCGACCCTATAAAGTATATATATTCTTGATCTGGGTAAAATTCTAAGACGATCTAGCCATGTCCGTCCGTCTGTCTTTTGTAATCACGCTATCTTCTGAAGGATAGGATAGGATGCTGAAATTTTGCATAAAATTGTCTTTTGTCTGCAGGCAGGACAAGTTCGGCATAGCTCCCATGTAAGGTATTTTAAGGTTCTTGAGCGTGTTTTTCAACCGAATTTGCTGCAATTTGGTGTTTTCTAGTCTTATATTGTAACAAATCTCCCTAACAAAATTTTTTAATATTCGCCCCCTTTTTGGGGTAGTCCCCATATGACCCCCTTTTTATACCCTTCACCACACTGTGGTACAGGGTATTATGTCTTTGTGCATATGTTTTATATTAAAATAGTTATCTGATTTGTTCCGCGTTTTGAGTTTGGTTCTAAGACTCTGATGTAATCATTTCACCTGTGGAGGATATCGAGATAAAAAAGTAGAACGTAAGGTTCGATAATGAACTATAGCCCGTATTTAGACCTAGCCGTAGCTGTGTGGAGGTTCCAGAAGAAGTGGGCCGATATTCCCCATCTTCGAACTTGAACTAAGTTTTGAAGAAATAATAAGATTGGCAAAGTTTGGATGAAATCTAAATTTTTGAAACGGATTTGGTCCAAAGAAACTTGGGGCTACAACCGATATTTCGATGAGGCACATTTTCACTGTGTTAAAGTGTATATACCCTCATTACCCATAAGGCTGAGGGTATAAATATCCATTAAAAATTTCCGAAATTTGTATTATCCTGAACTCTGATTATTATGGTTTACATAAACCCTTTTTAGAAATGTTGGTATGCTCCCTATATTTTCATTTCTAGTACCTATCAGTATATTTATGGTGGAGGGTATCAAAAGTTCGGCCCGGCCGAACATAACGCCTTTTCACTTGTTTATATTATAACGACTATAGACTTCATTTATTATTCGAGGTCAATAGAAAGAACGATTCTTTTTATTTTAACACTCAATTTTCCCACTTTCAGTTATATTGAGATTCATAGTCACATTTGAAACATGTATTGGGAAGTGTTGTGGAGGTAGAGGTAATCTCCTGACAAAAAATTGCCATTCACTCAGATTACACTGGGCGACAAAATCGGGGTCATGGTCTGGGTGGTGGAAAATTCCTATTGGGGTTGGAAAACCTTATCGTGTATATGAAAACCCCAGAATGATAAATTCGCTATAGGTCAAATTTCGGAGATATGACATTATCATGTTTTTGTTGGCGACCCTATTATACATGGAAAGATAGCTTCATATCTTCATTTGTAGCCATCGTATGGACTTACAAGATTAAATTACATTTCTTCAGTAAAAAAACCATTACGGAAAGTTCAAAAGTCGGACGGGGCCGACTATATGATAACCTTCATCACCATGGGTACATGCAAGACATGTTAATATCTACAATATCCTGTAGATATAGAAATTTCGCATACACCAGCCGGGACCTAATTCAATACTCTGTGCAAAATTTTGCTTCAATCGGGCCGATATTGGGAGTTTGGTTCACAATGGGATCTATATCTAAATCTGAACCGATTTCAACAAAACTCCGCATTCATTAACCATGACCTAATTTAGTACGCTGTGCTAAATTTTGTCTCAATCGGATAAATATTGGCAGTATGTTGCACCATTTACATAAAATCGGACGAAACTATATATAGCATATTTATATATAAATATGAACCGATTCCAACACTGATAAATCAAGAAGGGTATAAAAAGAGGGTTATAAGGGGACTACCCCTAAAAGGGGGCGAATATTACTAATTTTTGGGAGGGAGGTTTGTTACCATATACGACTACAAAAAACCAAATTACAAAGAATTTGGTTGAAAGAATTTGGTTGAGAGATTTGCTAACTAATAAGAACTCGACGTCCTGAATTACAGTCAATTCGGTCGAAAAATACGATCAGAAACCCCAAAATTGGGAGTACCGTTATATGGGGACTACCAGAAAAAGTGGACCTATATTTATAATTTTTAGTGGAGTAATTCGGTACGCAATAAGAACCCAATGTACAAAATTTCAGAGAATTCAGTTATAAAACGAGCCCAATAATACCGAAAACTGGGGGTACCCTTATATGGGAGCTATCCGAAAATATGGACCCATATTTATAATTTTTAGTGGAGAGATTTGCTACTCAATAAGAACTCAAAGTACCAAATTTCAGCGGATTTAGTTAAAAAACCTCAAAATACCGAAAATTGGGGGGTACCCTTATACGGGAGCTATACCTAAACGTGGACCGATTTTCTCAATTTTCAATAGGGTTCGTCCTTGGGGCAATTAGGTGACCTGTGACAAATTTCATTCAGATCGGATCATAAATGCGACCTGCACTTTGTTAACAAAAATACATGGACGGACGGACGGACAGACGGACATGCATAAATCGACTCAGCAAGTGCTTCTATGCATATTCTCAAAAGGAACCATGGGTCTATCTTGATTATTTTTGCCTGTTACAAACATATGCACAAAGACATAATACCCTGTACCACAGTGTGATGAAGGGTATAATGAGGATTTTTTTTTTGTAGAACATTTTGTCCTTTTAACGCGGTTCCTTGTGTGTCCTTATTGTTCTTAATTTATTGAACCAGACTCCAATCACCACACCCTCGCGATTTTTCATCCTCGCACTATTCTACAAAAATTTTGGTATTTGGTTTTTTCGTGGCAGTATTTTACCATGACATGGTTCACCATCGAGTTTAGATATTCTGAAGGCCCATCTCATGGTGGAGGGTATAAAAAAACCTCGGCCCGGCCAAACTAACCACGTTTTACTTGCTTTTATTTTTTATCACTTATGCTTTCCACTATGGCACTAAAATTATTAGTTTTTATTATTAATATTTTAATTTTCTTACAATTTTTAACATGTTGATATTTTTAAAACTCCGCGTTTTATGATTAAATCCGACTTCAAATGGTCACTAACGTTTTTAAATTTGTACTACTTGTTTTTCCAAGACACCTCTCATATTTATATACAGCATTTGTGGAAAATCTTCTTTTGTTTTCGAAAATCACCGAAAAAATACCATTTGAAATATTCTATAGATCAACCTTAGCATATTAGTTCAAAAGGTGCACAAAGAAGATCCGAACTAATTTGCATTAATTATATGGTGCTCTAGTTGAGTGAGTTTTCCATTGGTCTTTAAACACCGCAGACGCAAATATCTCTCACTGAAGCTACTAATTTTGCAATGGAGTTTTTGGGTGTGTGTGTGTGAGTGACCTGTTAATCAGATTTATTCCAACTCCCACAAGAATTAGCATTTTTTAAAAGCTACTGAAATAGTTAACATAAGAAAAGACAATGCAAATATTCTTACCCCTACCCTTGTATTCTTTATCATGTTGGTCACTACAATGTTGTTGACTTTTTCTTTTACCTTTTCCATTGTTATAGACTTGAAAATGAAACTAACTTTATATCTGCCATAATTTCTGCTTGCCCAAAATGTATACATCTCACAAACCGACCGACAGACCGGCACAATTCATACATGCTTGCGAAAATTGAAAACCAAAAAATTCCAATAAATCAATTAGGCAGAGCTTTATCGACCGCATCAGAGAGTGTTTTGACCATTCGTTCGTTTTGTTCGTTCATCTATTTGCCACCTGGCCCCAAAGGGGATACATTTCATGTTTTGTTGTTATTGTTTTGATTTTCGTATTGGCATAAATATTTTGCGCCCCATAGCAATTTTTCTACCCAAACGCTTTGTTGGTTCGAAAATATTGCGCTATTTACTAAACACAATTTGACCATTGAGATTTCCTGGTTGCTGAAATGTCCGTTTCACGTTACCGTTCCATTGTTGTTGAAATTTTGTTTTTCCAAAATATTTGTTGTTGTTTAGATTATGCTAATTTTTCTTAAACGACTGCTAAGCGTTTTTTTGTGTTTCTGTGAGTCATTCAAGCTAAAAATCTGATGTAAAGCAATTGAACTGTCGATGTGTGTGTCTGTGTGTGGCATAACAGAAGCAAAACTGCGTCACAACAAACTTTGTTGATTTATTGGCCTTTAGTCTACGGTTTGTTTATTAATATATCACGGCTCTTTGCAAATTTTCATTCTACCGCGACTACAATGCGAATATATTTATAAGGTGTAGCTCTGATATTTTGCTCATACCTTACTAATAAGTATAGGGTATTAGGTATTTAAAAATGGATCACATTGTGGAATATTCGCAAAAAATAAGAACTCTGAATTTTGGGTTCTCTAAGAGGTTTAGGAGGAAGTTTTAATAATCAGATATCCGGAATGATAAATTACAAGCACATCTTTGGAGACTTCAATGGACGGAACATTTGTCACATTTTCAAAAAAAGACCTATATCCAAAGTTATGGCTAAAAATAAGGCTGAGTCCTTAAAAATACAAAAATGTGGTAGGTTCTGTAAACAATAAGTAGAGCTCTAGTTTTGCTTAAATGTCAAAATATGAACCTATACCAAAAATATCCTGCACATATGTTTTCAGCCAACTAAGAAACCCGAATGCTGAATTACAACCAGTTCGATGCAAAAATGCGACTAAAATGTTTTCAAAATACGTATAATGGGGCTGGATCTTAATATGTACAATATCTCAAAAAGGGAACCTATATCCGAAAATACCGAAATGGGGGAGGAAAACACCTTTATATGGGGGTTATTTCTGGAAATGGGTTTATCGATATTTTTTTGCCACCCTCTAAGAACCTGGAATGTAAAATGACAGTAACTTCGATGGGGAAAATGGGATAAAAACCTACAAAGTAGCGAAATTGGAGCGGGACCTTTTCGAAGATTTTGTTCAAGATGCTTCTCTTCCTCCAGGAAGCATGAATGATAATGTCGAGTAACTTCGGTGGGAAAATGGCTCTAAAACATTTAAAATACGGTAAATGGGGTGGGACCTCTGTATGGATACTATGTTAAAATGTGGTCGTATATTGAAGATTTTCTGCAGGTTTTATACCTTCACCACCCTTGTTACAGGGTATCATGTCTTGGTGCATAAGTTTGTAACAGGCAAAAGGAAACGAGATAGACCAATGGTTCATTTTGAGAATATGCATAGAATCACTTTCTAAGTTGATTTATGCATGTCCGTTTGTCTGTCTGTCTGTCCGTCCGCCTATCCGTCTACGTATGCTTCTAAACACAGTACAGATCGCATTTATGATCCGATTTAGATGAAATTTGGCACAGCTAACTTATTTGTCCCAAAGACGAACCCTATTAAAATTGGAGAAAATCGGTTCAGATTTAGATATATCCCATATATAGTTTCGTCCGATTTTATTTAAGGGGACCCCACCCATTCTCGTTTTCAAAAAATTTAATTTTTTATTTTGATTTAATTTGAAGCTACACTAATTCAAGAATGTCCCTACCAATTTTCAAGTGAAAATCTCAACAATTTTTGAAGATATAGCCGATTTATTGTGTTAGCATCAGGTGACAGCAAGAGGGCTTCTAAAACTTAAAACGCGTTTTTCTCTTTTGCGATAGCGGGCACGATAACTCAAAAACTAATAACCCAATTGATTTCAAATTTTGAGACGTTTCTCCGTGATTGTATGGCTTTGGTATGAACTAGCCAATCGGTGAAGATCTTCCTTATTTTTTAACTTAGTTTGCGGTCCAAAATACGCGATTTTCCAAAAAAAATTGTTAATTGTTGTGCGAAGTCAATAATCCTGAATTAAGTCCAGTTTAAAGTCAGTGGAGGTTTTTGAAATCGGTTCAGATTTAGATAGCTCCCACATATAGTTTCTTCCGATTTTAGGTAAATTTGTGAGATTGAGACAAAAGCTTGCGCAGTGTATGGAGTTAAGTCCAGATAGGCGTATGCGAAGTTTTGTTAAAATCGGATAAGATTTAGATATAGCTTCAAAATATATTTTAGTCCAATTTTATGTAAATGTTGCACCGAAGAGCCTATATTTATTCGATTTACACGAAATTTGGCATAGTTTAGAGTGATGAGTATTAAAGTTGAAAAAATCGGTTTATCTCGGTTTTAAACTTTTCGTATAAGTTTTTTTTTATTTGCAGCCACTTAAAATGGAAACTGTGATAAAAAGTTAAAATTACGGAAAATATTACGGTAAATATTCACGCTACAAAACACTTTACTCTTTTGACCCGCAAATATTGAACGAACAAAATGACAATACTAATTAATTGGACAGATCCCTTATCCCATGTAAAATGTATAATAGTAGGTATAATAGTGGTCGCTCTAGATACTAGAAAACCAGACAAAGGAGCAATGTTGTCGGTCCCTTTCATTCACCAGATATCATCTAATCATCACCGAAAGGTATATTTGTGTCCTATGTCCATAATCGGAACTTCATGTAAAATTTCTTAGCTATTACCAATCAATTTCCGCCCTCGGCTGTAATTATTTAAGTACAACTCCCACATCCGAGTACATACTCCTTCTTCGGTTTATGTCTTTCTGAAGTACATATATACGCCATAGACTATTACCGGAATATCAGAAAATTTGGCAAGGAGAAAAGTTCTGAAGCATTGCTCATTTCATGATATCGGTCAATATTTATCGGGTCAAATGGAAACCCGCTAAATATTGGCCGATATCATGAAAAGAGCTGAAAACATGCCTATAAATCCAAAAATATGTATTAATGTGAGTTACCGTTATTGGGGACTACACCGATACTTAGGTCAAGATTGATACATTTTTTATTATATATAAAATATTCAAACACTTGTATTGTACTGTCACAATGAATTGACTTTAGGAAATAGAAAAAAAATTTAATGTTGCCAATGAGGGTTTGCTAAAGGTATAAGAAATTAAATTTTTTTAAAAAATATATATATATATATAACCCATTAATATTTACAGAACGCATGATGAATGGTTTCTTTATTTAAGAATTACATTTGTTTTTGTTACCTACAATTCATTTGTGCTTTATTATTAAATTTCAAGGTCAGGCCCAGGTGCAGAGTATTGGTTGGTTGGTTAATTGTTTATTTTCCATGAAGTTTCTTACAATGTAAATGTTACACAGAAAACGAAATAATTACTCTTGTATGCTTTGGGAACTGGTCAGTTGTTCTTTATATTTTTCGTTTTTTGTTTTGAATTATTCAACCTTATGTTGGTGTTTTTTTCTTTAATTGTAAATTTTTTTTTGGTATAATCTTGACCTTAGTTAACATTACTCATACATATATTTTATTTTAAAATATGACATTCTGTGTTAATTTGATGTTTTCCCCCAAAAATACAAAAGAGCATTTAAATTAAGACAACAATGTGTAATTAAAACACAGACAAAAATTGGAACAATCTTAATTTTCTACCGAGAAAAAATAAACAAATAAAGTCGCATAATAAAACAACTACTAAAGGGTTGAACTTCACATGCATGTATTTGTATTTGTTGTTGTTTTTTTTCTTATTCTCATGACATTGTCTTGGTTGTTAATTTGGCAACTTAATTTTTTTCTGTTAATTAAGTTGGCCACGGTATGTTCTGTTTGTCTGGCTAGTTGGTGGGTTGGTCCGTGGATTGCATTGTTGGTAATTGAGTAAAAAAGATAACAAGGCATTGATAATGTCTATAACAACCAAGTGAAGTTGTTAAAATTATTTACCACTCTAACTTCTAATCAGTTTCCAACAAATTGTTTCATTTTGCATAACAACTAAAAAAATATTTCAGTTTTTTGTTCAGTTTTTAACCGATAATATTATCATTTGTATTTTAAGTCGTTTTTTAATAGTTTTTTATTAATGTTTTATTGATTTTTATTATTTCATAATTATTTTCAGATATAAACATATTTTTAGGCTACTTTAACATTTTATTATTTCATATTATTTGTAAAAAGCTCTATATTAAAATTCAATACCTTCGTACAACAAGACATTTGATCAATCAATAGCTTTTAAGTAAAACTTAAAAGCTGTTGGTGATCATGTTAAATTGCTTGCCTAGGGTTTGTGTCTTAAGTCTTTTGTTTTCTCAGCAATAACTCATGTATGAACGGTATTATATTCGGTAGGTCGTCATTTGGAATTGCAATTTTTTCGTGTGAATGAGAAAAATAATCAATATGATTTTACATTTTGATGTAATAAAATATCAAAACGTGTATTTTTATATCAATGTTTTCATTTCTAAAAATGATAAATCTAAGTATGCATGGACTTAAAAAATATACATATACAGTCGAAATCGCATATAACGACGGTCAAGGGACCACCAAAATTAGTCGCTATAAGCAATATGTCGTTATAAACGATATCAAATAAAGGCATTTCTTGGGGCATCTGGATAAATCGTTATAACCGGTAAGTCGTTATAAACGATTTAGACTGTATTTTTATTTAGAGAAAATTGCAATTACGTTCATG